GACATGGGTTTGCAGTTTCTTATCTCTTCCCCTCTCTTCTGTGTACATAAATTTTGACTGGGCGACTGCCCCCTATCCTTCGATTCGATATCTCTGTTTTGGTTTTCGCCTGAATTGGCGCATCCTGCATTTCCTTCTCTTTTGATTGCCTTTTTGTCGACACGGATGAATGGATGGAATGCGCATCGTTTCCTCTTGCGCCTCACTAATGTATGGGATTAGTTGCTCACAACCTCGTGAAGTTTTGATTGCATCGTGTAGACGGAATTAGTTGCCCACTATCATTAGGCTGGATGTATGTGCAGATTGTCTGTTTGAGTTCGTAATCGACGTCATCATCCCGACCCAAAAATTACGTCGAGCATATCCGAGAACCCATGTCTGAGAACCGCACGCAACGATGACACGGTCCTCAGGCTCTAGCTCATCTTGGGATAGGAAATACTTCGAGCCCTGGATTCAGGAATCCCGTCGGGAGTACTATTGCACGCGAGGAGCGTATCCGGAATTCCCGAATTACACGAGAAACCAAGTGTGCGAGCGGGAATTCCATCGGGCGATAACCAACGATCCGCGCGGAGCAGACTATCCCGAACCGGATTACACACAATATTACACCTCTCCCGAATTCGTGGTTGTCGCCACTAATTACCCTCCCTTCCATGTTCTCCTCCCATATCACCAGCTCACGATGGTGCCCTGGCGGGTCATAGCCGCGTATTGGCCTGAACCGTGCAGATAGTGTTTACTCGGGCGCTACCCTCGTGCTCCTCGCTTTGACCAGCGCGCCCATAACCCGCGGCGTGGCCAACAATCGACCCCCTTTCGAGTCCCCAGGCAGGACGCGCGGCAGTCCCCCGCACCCCGGTGGTCCCCATCAAACCCGAAGCGGTGAGATAGGCGGTAATTGTGTGCTTGCCCTGCCCTACGGCAGTATTGCGCCCACGACCCATGAACTCGGCCACAGAAGATCCCAGTTCCGACCTGGGACTTCAACCCCCACTTTCCCAAAAATCCTTGGCACACCCCTCTTCGCACTTCCAGGCCCCCATCCCACTCCGATCAGGAAGTCGCGCCGGGCGTGAGGTTGGGCGTCACAACCTGTTGGGATTGTGGCATTTTGGGCTCCGACTGATTAACCGTTGGGACACAATGGGCTTGCTGCCACTATGTCAGCAGAACGCACGAGGTGATTGGCCTCTTGTGCTCTGCCTTGGGGACGTACAGTGGGCGCCGCTGAAGTATCTCATCTCTGATCCAACGCCTAAGTAATCCGGCACTCTCCTGCATGTACACTATGTTGGGTGGGAACATGATGACATTCAGGGAGCGGACCGATAGGAAGTGGCGGGATCATGGATGCCGAGATGGGAGTGAGCATGGGAAGAAGGTAGGAAGGGATAGAGGAAAACGAGGGAAGGGTTTGGATGTATGACGTGCTATAAAGTTGGTGAGAGGACTCGTCTCTCACTGATCATACGGAGGTGGAGGCCCTCCTGAAGGGACCTGTATTATGCGCAGGTCAAAACACATTGAGAGGTATGCGTAATTTTCTTGTAATGGTGTTTGGCTCAACAATGACAGTGTTTTGAAGCTTGATTTCATTTGTGTTCCTGTTTGCCTCCCATCGAACTTTTTTTTTTTTTTTTGGGGGGGGGGGGGGGGGGGGGAGCAACAATGCTCCAATCTATTCGTGGGCTGCTGCACGTGCTGGGAACCGGGTCCGGCGTCCCATTTGAAACATGAAACATGTTTGAGAACATATACAGAAAAACTTTGAGATACGGGGACTCTTACCCGGTTTTGTCTGAAAATAGGATCATGATCAATTAAGCCTATTCGATGAAGAACCCCACGAGATAGGCTAAAATTCATAAAGTTCTGAAAAAATCTGAAAGAATACGAGGAGAAAAAATATGAGAAGTTTCTTTCTAAACTGCACAAATTCTGAACTTTTTAAGAAAAGATCACCACCACAACAATCCTACAAATGCTCAAAACCCTTAGAATCCCTAGCAATCCCTTCTAAAATTCTTCCAACAGTTTCTTACTCCCTGTCGGGCTCTTCCAGGCCTCGTACCCCCACCCTGTTGGGTTACAAGGGAGCACGACTCGCCCCAGCTCCGACCAGCGTCCCAGCAGCAACCCTTAGTTGTCCCCTGGAATGCCCACCCCAAAGCATTCCCAGATCTCTCTACCAGGCCTCACACTCCTGCATCAGCAGGTTACAGGGCAAC